ACACACACACACACACACACACACACACACACACACACACACACACACAGTACTTAGGGCAGTGGACTGCTGCATTACCACATACACACATACACAGCACTTCACACACAGGCACACTCAGCACTTAGGGCAGCAGGAAGCCTCTGAAAGTGCCTGCCCACCTACCTGACCTGGCCCCACCTCCAAGACTGGACAGATGTGTGCCTAGAGGTCCCCCTGGTGGCCACTCTCTAAAGTCACCTGATCCTGCTAAGAAAGGAGCTGACACACTTTACAGTGTTCTGGGAACTTGGGACTCTATGAATCCTCAGGGCTTGCCTTTGGAGATCCACAGGGCCTTCTCAGTTTGCAGGCAGTAAAGGGGACGCCTACATGAGGGAGCATGCTGTGGAGGGGTGACCACGGCAGCAGATGGGCAGCCCAAGAGGGAATGGGAAAGGTGTGGTCTCTTTCATCCTTTCCCATGAGCCTGTCCTTGTATTTGTCCAGGTGCAGCTGTTGGACAAGCTACGTATCTACCAAGAGCAGATGTAGGGACCCATATACCCATGTACTGCACCCCAAGTTTTACATGTCCTTTCCTGTTTTGCACCAGGACATGCTTCTCTGTGCTGCACAGCTGTTGGGAAGCTGAAGCTGGGGAAAGCAGAATCAAGGGCCACTCCCAGTCCCCCAGGTGGCAGGGGCTAAAAGACATCACCTCCTAGGGGATGAAGCTGGGAGGACCTATTTACTTATTTATCTATTTAGTGTGGTACCTGCACCACATGCACTTGTGGCAGTCAGAAGACAATGTGCTAGAGTCAGATCTCTCCTTCCATCATCTGGGGACTGAACTCAGTTCATCAGTGTTGTTAGAAAGCACATTTATACACTGACCTACCGTGTCAGCCAAAACCTTTTAAATTGTGTATTATTTCTTTGTATGCACTTATTTATTTGTGTATTATTTATTTGTTGCGTGGCAGGTGCATGTATGGAAGTCAGAGTACAACTTGAAGGATTCTGTTCTCTCCTTCTACCATGTGGGGCCAGGGGTCTACTCAAATAGGCTTGGCAGCAGGAGCCTCTACCGGCTTAAGTCCCACTTCCTGCCTATTATGTAAATCCCAGGCCCCCATGTTTGTGTGGCAAACACTTTACAAAACAATCTAGGAGACTCTGTTTCCTAGAATCACTGACTATATATTCTGTACTATGCTTGGCCTCTTCCCATAGTGTTGCTGATTTGGTGGTATCTTCCAAATGGATGGGTGTTGCCCCAGGTTTGTGCTGGGGTAGAGACTGTCACTCTGGCATCTGTGCTGAACGGCATCAGGAGGTTCTGCTAAGAAGACAAAGCAGCTGAAACATGGATGCATCCCGCTGGGCTTTCTCTCACAAGAAGCAGGTCAAGGAACTAGGGTAAAAGGCCAGGCCTGCAGGCATCTCAGGTGGGCTCAGGCCTCCGGCAAGCCAGCACAAAGGATGCAGTGAGACTGGCTTCTTGCTAGAGCCATCAAAGTACCCTTCAGCAGGAGCTCTAGAACACAGAAAGGACCACAAAACTACTGGCACAAGGAAATAGGGTACTGTGGCTCTGGAAAGGCCAAGCTGTGCTCCTTACGTAAGAGTTGGACTGCCAATACCCTACAGGTCCCAAAGTTGCCCATCTGCACTACAGAGCAGGCAACAAAGACCCTAGGAACACACTGGGGATATGCAACATATCATGAAGGAAAACGTCTAGAAGAGACCAGCAGGAACAGCCCTGGAAACATGAACCTCCCCATCTAGACTGAGTCTGGAACTCCGGGAAGCCCCAGCTCTGGCTACAGCCCCACCAGTGAGACAGATAAGATAAGCACCAGGTTGCCCCTTCATCCTGGATGAGGCCTGCATCTCTCGACATCTCAGTCCTGTGGTCAACTCCCCTGAAGGCATATAGATGACAGTGAACATCCATGTGCTATGCCTGGTGCTCAACTTCCTCTTGCTTTAATCCCACACCACAGCCCAGAGGGAAACAGGTTTATAGTAAAGGCCAGCCCAGGGTCACAGCTGAGTGGCAGAGGGGTTTCTGCTGTGGGGGAATCTGGCTCCCAAAATGTACTGCTTTGGATAAACCAGTAGTTTCGAGCAGTATTGACCCCATTTCTGACTAATCTTCACCACTCTTCTGGGACCTGCTGGTACCTACACAGCCTTCTTTGTCTTCCCTATGGCAGGATTGTCTAGAGCTGGCACCCTCTCCACTCCAACACTTACATTATTTTGAATATAACCTTTGCCCCTCCCTATTTGACTAATTAGTTTTGTTCTTCAGGCTGATCCAATTTTAGCACCTTTAACCACATTAGCACACAAGCACACACTTAACTCCAAGTGTGTAATGTACATTATATTGGTAAATTGCCATGTGTTGTTTGAGTTCACCTGAGAAGCTTCCTCTAGAAGCGGAGTTGCTATCCCCTCCTTTCAGACCCAGGCATATTTACCTCAAAGTGTCCTTTGAGACTACTTTTCTAGGGATGTTATGTCCCCTCCCCCAACTCTGTGACAGGAAGAGAAAAGCAAATAAATAAATAAATAAATAAATAAATAAATAAATAAATAAATAAGCAAGCCATTTCCAGCTGAGGTTTCTGTTGTTTATCCTGTGATATAAGAGTGGGTACAGAAGGAAGGAGAAGCTGGAAGCCTGGTCATAAGCAGCAGAGAGAAACTTGCTTGTGGAATGCCATGACTTCCCAGGGGGTTTCTCTGGATATTTGTAAGCCAGGACTTGATGCTACTTTCTGTTATTTGTTCTTTTACTTGGACGCCTCATTCTGCTCAGCCCAGAACTCTGTCACCAACTGACTGCCTCAGCAGGAATTCTCTAGTAAATTTGCACTGGATAATTTGGTTGGTTGGTTGGTTGGTGTGGTTTGGTTTGGTTTTTCCAGACTGGGTTTCTCTGTGTAGCCCTGGCTGTCCTGGAACTCCCTCTGTAGACTAGGCTGACCTCGAATTCAGAGATCTGCCTGCCTCTGTCTCCTGAGGGCTAGAATTAAAAGTGTGTGCCGCCTCCACCCAATGCTATGTCTGTTTTTAAAGGAGTGACTGTTGTAACAGGGAAAAGGGGACTTACGCGATGGCAGACTGGGGCTGGTGATGAAGGGAATATGCTGGTGCTCCCAGAACACTCACATGTACCCTTTGTTAGAACCAGACAAATAAATGTCATTCATGTCTAAAACTGTAATCACGGGGTTAACATACAAAAAGAGGTCTCTGTGTTTCCTTGTTCACAAGGAAAGTTCACTACTGAGAGTTGTAACATGGCCCCAGACCTTAGCACAACTGACTCAATGATGGAAGTACCTTTCAAGCTGTAACATTCAGTACCACCTGCCAAAACTGAAGCAAAGGCCTATATAGTTGTGAAATAGTTATGTGTTTTTGTCAGTTTTGTTTCCCTGGCTTAAGATTTGTTCCCCCTCCTGTTGGAGA